ATATATCAACTGGTCGTGTTTTTCATTGTGAAGTACTTCGACAAGAAATCATGTCTAATAATAATAGATTCATTACAGATTCTAATATTCTTCTTATAGCATCTCATCATGCTGCAACAGATCAATCCGCTTATCAAATATTTCTAAATGATCTTTATTTTGCTTATAATAAAAATGTCAAATGGACAGGTGATGAAGACATATTACAATATATTGATTATGCTGTTCATGAACGTTTAATTGATATGACACCATCACGTGAATTTTGGCTTTGAGAATTGAAAGACCATGATTTTGAACATCGATTATCGTTATCTACTGATCAACATTGTTTATCTAATGATCAACGATCTGGTTTTGCTTCAATTGCTCAGATTTCTTTCGATAAAGATATTTCTAAATCATTTCTTAATTACGCTTCCACACATCAAACTACTTCATTTCAATTAGGTATGGCATTATTTTATATTTTTCTATTCAAATTAATTCAAGATCAAAATGATTTATGTATTTCTTGTCATAATGCAAATTGATATAGAACTGAATTACAAAATATAATGGGAATGTTTATTTCAACATTGCCATATCGTATAAAACTTGATTCTAATTGGTCATTTAATGAACATTCTCATTATCCATTACAAAATATTCTAACTGATATTCGTGCTAATCAATCTAATGTTTCTTTTCTTCAAACAGTATTTGATTTTATTACACGATCTCCTGATATTGATCAATTATCTTTCGATGATGTCAATTTAAAACCAATTGAATTAAAACAATCTATTGAAATTGCTAAATTTGATTTTATGTTAACATTTATTTATAATCCAATGTTAAATGATGAGATGTTATCATGTCGTTTTGTTTGTTCACATGATCTATTCGAAGATATGACAGTTACAAAAATTGCTCGACGATTTGAATATCTTATTGAACAATTATTTTCAGTGGATTCTAATACTAATCAAACTGATATTCTTGTTTCATCTATTACTAAACTTAGTCTTATTTTACCAGAAGAAGTTTATGAAATGGAACGAATAGTCTTTTGTCGACAACCAGATATTATAAATGAAGGTATGTATGTCTTTAATATATTTGAGAAAATTATTAGACGATAGAAATATACGGGTACAGGATTCACACCTACATCTTTACTCATCCCCATCAAAATTAAGTATATTCATCTTTTAATGTTCTTATTATTAATATATAGCACCAGCATCATATGCTCAAGCACGTATTTGGCTTGATGAACGAATTCGTTTTGATTCAAAAAGTCCTCAAGTTGCCATATATAATATGCCTTTTCTTCATCGACTTTCATCAGG